CGAGGGGGGGTATGGGGGTGTTGGTGGGGTTATTGGGGGTTATGGACCCCGCAAAAAAAAGGGAAAAAAGAAAAAAAAGCCAGGTGCCGACTGACCTCCAACCGGTAGGTGCCAAGAGCTGGAATGAATGGTTGGCTGGTCGGCAACCCACCAATCCGGGAGCGCCGACCGTCGGCGTGACTACTCTGCTTGCTGCTGTTCTAAAATGAGACTTATGATGTTGGTCCCTTTCCTTGGCCATGGCTCGCCGGAATGATTCGTACCATCGTAACTTCCTTGGACTGACCTACAACTGACTGGAGCCTGCCACTTGTCCAGTACCTAACGACTGACCTCCACCGACTTCTACAGACTTTTACTATTGGTACCTGTACATCCTTCAGCACAGTACCTACCGGCAAGTTTCTGTACGGCCTACTGTACGGTACGTACCTGGAAGTTTCAGTACGGTGTCGAGCGCATCGGTCCAACACCGCGCAAGGCAGGGCGGGACCCTCCCGGCCGCGTCACGTAGGAATTGGTCTGATCCTCGTCGCAAATGCATATGGAGCTTCTGCAAGTCGCTCCGGCCGAGTGCGCCAGCCGTACCTCTCGCGAGCCCCTACGACAGGATAGGGCCAACGCGAGGCACGACTTACCTCCACCTTACGGGAGTTGTCACCTCCCTTTGGTGGGCGTATCCCCGCCGAGCTACTAGTCCACAGTACGAAAGCTAATCAGCTGCAATCGCAGAGGTGGACCAGTCGAGCGCGTTTCTCGTTCATTGTAGCATAGGGGGTACGCGCGGTTTTACGCCTCTATCGGACCCGCACGGGAACCGACGCCTTGGGGGGCTGAGGTCCGAAGCGCGACTCGTCGTCGGTCGACTAGGACGCATCCCACACGCCACGCGTACACCACTCTAAAGACATAAAAATAAAAACACACACACATACACATACAAAACGACACAGAACAAACAACGCGACAACACTCTTAGTCCCTTAGTAGTCATCCCATAATTCTCCGATGCGGAAATCGGATAGGCGTTGCGCGCGAGACTTAGTATAAAACCCCGCGGACGCAGGGCTAACCTCATATCGACTTGCAATGCAAGCATACACAAGCAGTCACAATGATGGCGTACTATGTAGTACCCATACTCATGCTGTCTTCGTTAATCTCAAGGGTCGCATTCGACACTCAAGTGTCGGCTGACACGCGCCTTGAGGGATTGATCTCTCGACGCTGGACAACCGCCAAGTGCGGTTGAGAACCACACCCTCTTCTGCACCCTGTGAAGAGTGGGTGGTACACAGGTTCATACCTGTGGTGGCAATCGTCTCTTATCGCCCTGAAAACCAGCTCCATCATCCAGGGTCCGGAGAGAAATCAAGGGGTTTGACTTTGACGACTGCCACGGACTACGTTATAAATATGTGATGATCACTTCTCACAATCACAGTGAGACTCCTCTCAGCCATATATATGTACATGATCGCAGGCAGTCAAATCCAAAGTCTGAACCACCAAACATACCTGC